TCAGGAAATAAACCCCTCTCTCTTTTCCTCCGTACACATCTCTAAAAACGGGGGAGCAACGGAGCTGATCCAGATTTGCTGAGTCATGACCACATTACTAAAATGTGGGCGGGCTTTACACCCACGGGCCAATCAGAAACGTTGCTGTCAGAAACAATGTGTTCTGGAAGTAATATGGTCTGTGTTTACATTAGCATGCTAACACTCAGAGCTAACCTGTACTGGAGAGAGTATGTGTGAAGAAGCAGGAAATGAAAAGGAAGTCACCTTGTGGTAAACAGTTTAATGTAACCTTTATTACAGTCTGTATAACAGTTTAATGTAACCTTTATTACAGTCTGTATAACAGTTTAATGTAACCTTTATTACAGTCTGTATAACAGTTGAATTGAACCTTTATTACAGTCTGTATAACAGTTTAATGTAACCTTTATTACAGTCTGTATAACAGTTTAATGTAACCTTTATTACAGTCTGTATAACAGTTTAATTTAATAAATATTACAGTCTGGATAGTGGTGGTCTAATGGATAATGAGGTGGGCTGAAGATTGGAAGGTTGTGAGTTCAAATCCCGCTCAAGGAACACCACCACTAGTGTGCCCTTGAGTAAGGCACTTAGTCCTTAGTTACTCCAGGGAGAATGTCCCTGTAATTGGTCATTGTAAGTCGCTTTGGATAAAAGCGTCAGCTAAATGAAATGTAATGTAATGTTTAACAGTTTAATTGAATCATTATTACAGTCTGTATAACAGTTTAATTGAATCATTATTACAGTCTGATTAACAGTTTAATTGAACCATTATTACAGTCTGATTAACAGTTTAATTGAATCATTATTACAGTCTGTATAACAGAGGCTAACCAGCTGATGCTAATGTTTTGATGCTAACCTGCAGGTAGCTGGTGTTAGCTAGCTTTAGCAAGAAGAAGCTAACCAACTGTTGTTTATCTTTAGTAAAACAGCTGATCTCGAGTCAGACTTTAACAACAATCACAACATACCCGTGTCTGTCTGTGAACTTTAGGGGGGTGATGGGTAAACATTAGCATCGATGTTAGCCGGCTCACATGCTAACACAGCTACATGTTAGCATGTAATAATACAGAACTGTGAAGCCGATCAGCTTCTCCTGCTCATCAGAAACAGCTGATTCAGAGACATTGAAACATCAATAGCTGTTTATTTCATATCTTTTATATATATTCAGTATTCAGTCAGAAAGTCGTTTAACCTTTAATCCGTGTTTGTGCTGAGGAACCATGTATATCTATAGCAGAACCACAGTGATATTATCTAATGAAACAGAACCACAGTGATATTATCTAATGAAACAGAACCACACTGATATGTTCATAATGAAGCAGAACATGTTTCATGGACCAGGGGAGCCTCACTCCGTGTTTCTGACCGACAGGGGAGCCTTAAACACGGAGGCTATCTGGAGCTAACCTAGCTAACAGCTAGCTCTGCTGATAGAGAACCAACTGACCGAACCTCAGTGTTAATGGGAGGGTTTTTAACAGCAGTAGGACCAGCAATAACACCGATAATAAGAGCAGTAAACCGGTGGGGCCTGTGGCGGAGAGACAGCAGCTGTGAGGCCGGAGAGAGGAGCTCCAGCCCGGCCTCAGAGTAGAGATCTCCCCGCTCAGGGGCTCCTCTCTCCGGCTACCCTCCCTTATTATTATCTCCATTACTGATAAAGCCTTTACCTGCACGGGTTCCTGCAGCACCGTCATCCCGCTTCTCCGGCTCTTCGGTCGCTTTTCCCTCTTTCCTTTCGGAGCTTTTCTTCACTTCGGTCTCCAGGAGGAGCTGCGGCCGGAGATTTGAACAAACCGACCGTTAACAGCCGAACAGAGCCGAAGATACCCGAGGGGGCCATCCGGAGACACACGAGTTCTGACGGAAAGAGCCGAACATAGGAGAGGGCCATCCGGAGACACACGAGTTCTGACGGAAGGAGCCGAAGATTCCAGAAGAGGGAGGAGGGCCGTCCGGAGAAATACGAGTTCTGACGGAAAGAGCCGAAAGGCCAACAATCTTGAATCCTTCAAAAAATCTCTCAAAACTCACTTATTCACTCTAGCTTTCAAACACTGATCAACAACCCTACCCCCCCCCCCCCCCATTTTACTCAGCACTTGGATTAGGACTTTTGTTTATGGTTTTGGTTTTTGATTTTGTTTCTGTTCTGATTTTATGTAAAGCGTCTTTGAAGTAGGAAGTATACTCACTAACACAGAGGAAGTGAGGAAGTACTCACTAACACAGAGGAAGTGAGGAAGTACTCACTAACACTGAGGAAGTACTCACTAACACATATTTAAACATATTTGAGAGTAATAAGTATTTTGTTTACAGGGAAGAGGTCTTAGATCTTTGATTTCAGCTCATGATGCGTTTATATATTTGTTCAGTGTATTTATAATATAGGATGATGAGGTGTTTATTTATGTATTATTATTCACTATAGAATCAGAGGCAGTGAAGCATCACAGAATAATCAGATAGATAGACAGTCACATTTATTTATTCCAAATAGGGAAATTATTTGACAGATAAATCGTTTATAAACTGAAGGGAAGTTCATGAATCATTGACACGACTCTGAATGCAACACAGCACAAACTTTATTTAAAACATTCAGCACTTCCTGTATAACTGTCAAACACATTTAGTCATCAGAAACACGACCTGCTTCAACCAATCACTGAACAGAGGCTAATTCTAATACTATCGCTATTAAGCAGAGAGGCGGGGCTACACGTCGAGGGGCGGGGCTACACATTTAGAGGTGGGTTTTCGTGTTATGGGCGGGGCTACACATCGAGGGGCAGGGCTACGCATTTAGAGGTGGGTTTCCGTGTTGTGGGCAGGGCTACACATTTAGAGGTGGGTTTCCGTGTTGTGGGCGGGGCTACACATTTAGAGGTGGGTTTCCGTGTTGTGGGCGGGGCTACACATTTAGAGGTGGGTTTCCGTGTTGTGGGCTGGACTACGAGGTGCAGTTGGTCTCTGGAAAGAGTCGACATTTGACCACGGACAGGTAGGTCTCCACCTGCAACAAGAACATCATGGGGGTCAGGAAGTCACCACTCCCAGGAGAAAATCACAGGTTTAAAGTCAGGAATCTAATCCAGGTGTAACACTTTTTGATCAGAGTCCCTCCAGTGTATCCGAATGGCTCGCATGTCCTTCTTGAAGCAAGCAGCAGCTCGTAGGTTCTCCTGAGGCTGCTGCTCTGCTAGTAGTAATAATAAACCCTACAGTAATGAACCTTATGGGTATAAACCCTATATTAAACCCTATGGGTATAAACCCTATATTAAACCCTATGGGTATAAACCCTATAGTAAACCCTATGGGTATAAACCCTATAGTAAACCCTATGGGTATAAACCCTATAGTAATGAACCTTATGGGTATAAACCCTATAGTAAACCCTATGGGTATAAACCCTATAGTAAACCCTATGGGTATAAACCCTATAGTAAACCCTATGGGTATAAACCCTATAGTAAACCCTATGGGTATAAACCCTATAGTAATTAACCTTATGGGTATAAACCCTATAGTAAACCCTATAGTAAACCCTATGGGTATAAACCCTATAGTAAACCCTATGGGTATAAACCCTATAGTAATGAACCTTATGGGTATAAACCCTATAGTAAACCCTATGGGTATAAACCCTATAGTAAACCCTATGGGTATAAACCCTATAGTAAACCCTATGGGTATAAACCCTATAGTAAACCCTATGGGTATAAACCCTATAGTAATGAACCTTATGGGTATACACCCTATAGTAAACCCTATGGGTATAAACCCTATAGTAAACCCTATGGGTATAAACCCTATAGTAATGAACCTTATGGGTATACACCCTATAGTAAACCCTATGGGTATACACCCTATAGTAAACCCTATGGGTATAAACCCTATAGTAATGAACCTTATGGGTATAAACCCTATAGTAAACCCTATGGGTATAAACCCTATAGTAAACCCCATGGGTATAAACCCTATAGTAAACCCTATAGTAAACCCTATGGGTATAAACCCTATAGTAAACCCTATAGTAAACCCTATGGGTATAAACCCTATAGTAAACCCTATAGTAAACCCTATAGTAAACCTTATGGGTATAAACCCTATAGTAAACCCTATGGGTATAAACCCTATAGTAAACCCTATGGGTATAAACCCTATAGTAATGAACCTTATGGGTATAAACCCTATAGTAAACCCTATGGGTATAAACCCTATAGTAATGAACCTTATGGGTATAAACCCTATAGTAAACCCTATGGGTATAAACCCTATAGTAATGAACCTTATGGGTATAAACCCTATAGTAAAACCCTATGGGTATAAACCCTATAGTAATGAACCTTATGGGTATAAACCCTATAGTAAACCCTATGGGTATAAACCCTATAGTAATGAACCTTATGGGTATAAACCCTATAGTAAACCCTATGGGTATAAACCCTATAGTAATGAACCTTATGGGTATAAACCCTATAGTAAACCTTATGGGTATAAACCCTATAGTAAACCCTATGGGTATAAACCCTATAGTAAACCCTATAGTAAACCCTATAGTAAACCCTATGGGTATAAACCCTATGGGTATAAACCCTATAGTAAACCCTATGGGTATAAACCCTATAGTAATGAACCCTATGGGTATAAACCCTATAGTAAACCTTATGGGTATAAACCCTATAGTAATGAACCCTATGGGTATAAACCCTATAGTAATGAACCTTATGGGTATAAACCCTATAGTAAACCTTATGGGTATAAACCCTATAGTAATGAACCTTATGGGTATAAACCCTATAGTAATGAACCCTATGGGTATAAACCCTATAGTAAACCCTATGGGTATAAACCCTATGGGTATAAACCCTATGGGTATAAACCCTATAGTAAACCCTATGGGTATAAACCCTATAGTAATGAACCTTATGGGTATAAACCCTATA